CAAGCTAAATTTATTTAAGGGTAATTTTTTTTGGAGGTACTGGAGTTTGAACCTGGGGCCTTGTGCTTGTAGGCAAGTGCTCTACCATTTAAGCCATGCCCCCAAGCTTTCTAGTTTTACTTCATTTTTCAGATAGGGTCTTGTGATTTTACTTGCCTTGGACCATGATCCTTCTACCTCTGCTTCCTGAGTAGCTGGGATTACAGATGTGCCCAGCATGTTTTTTGACATAGGGTCTTGCCAACTTTTTTGTCTGTGCTGGCCTCAAACAGTGATCCTCCTATGACTATTCAAGTCACCACAGGATGATTAGTTCCTGTCTATCTTCAGAGAAAAACTGTTTGATAAGACAAAACTGTTCAGATAAGAGAGAAAGTCATCAGAATCCAAAAGGGATCATTTGTGTCAATCTTTCCATAAGTAACTAAAGCTTTCAGGTTGTGAAAAAAAAAATTCATAAGCATGGCTACTGAATACTAAGCCTTGTAGGCACCTCTGACAGAAGGCAAACTCATAGCAGGCCTAGGCCTACCAGTTAAGTGGGTACAAAAATGACTATTTCTGCTGGCTCCAAACATATCCTTTTAGTAGTCCATGTTCATGGAGTTTTTAAAAATGGATCTCCTACATAATTTATTTAGTTGGATGTTCTCTAACTTTGACTCTTTTGTTTTCTGCTTTATAATGGTGTTTCAAGTTTTTTTTTATTGTTTTATCATTCATATGTGCATACAAGGCTTGGGTCATTTCTTCCCCCTGCCCCCACCCCCATGTTTCAAGTTTTAGACTTAACAGGTTCTTTTGACTTATATACTCCAGCTATTACACTTTGTCCCCTTCTCATGTACTAGTTTATTCCTAGTCTGAAAACCTGCAAAGCCAGATTGACTGACGGTTTCCTCAAGATTGTAGAATGTGGAAGAATAAAGGTACAGGTAAAAGGTACTTAAACTTCTTTTGCTAAAAAAGCACTGACTCCTTTCTTGGGCCCATGAAACAACTAAAAGGAAAACGGGTGGCATCTCTGTTTCCATTTTTGTATCTGTCTTTGCTCTGAGCCATTCACCTTGGAATCCAGAAAGCGCAGAATTGATCATTCATAATATCTGTACAAAGAGAGGTGGAGAAAACATCCCTCAAGAAAGAACAGGGCCTCCCAGGAAAGACCACCCACCAGGCAACAATGACATGCTGATCCTGACCAGCTTGCTCCCTTCAAGCAATGACAGAGATAACAACCTCTCTGGAAGAGAGACTGAGCTAACAATCAACAGTACCTACCTGAGACTGGGACTATTTAAGCATACCTCTCACCCCCTGCCCTAGTTCTTTTTCTGTTTAAACCTAAAGCTCAAATTCGTATCCCAAATATGGGCTGAAGTGCTTACTCTGCATCTTCCCATGAGTGGTGAGCTGTACAGTAAACCTTTCTCTGCTCTTCAAATAAAAGAAGGAAATTATAGCTTATGCCCAGATGTTGAAAAGTTTTCCTGCTTTTCTCTAGTAGTTTCAAAATTTGGGGTCTTACTCTAAGGCCTTTCATCTGTTTTGTGATGATTTCTATACCAGGTGAGAGAGAAAGATCTACTTTCAGTTTTCTGCATGTGGATAACCCAGTTTTCCCACCACTTCTTGTTAAAGAACTGTATTGTTTTCCTGATTTCTTTCTCAGCCTGTTCATTATTGCTGTATAGAAAAGTAACTGGTTTTTGTATGTTGATTTTATACCTTACTACTTTTCTGAAAGTGTTCATTCAGATCTAAGAGTTTTCTAGTGGAGTCTTTAGGGTCTTAAAAGATCATATCATCTGCAAATAGGTATAATTTGACTTCTTCCTTCCCTATTTATATCTCTTTTCTTTATTTTTCTTGTCTTATTTGTCTGGCTAAGAATTCAAGCATACTATTTCAGAAGAGTAGAGAGAGGGCACATCTTTGTCTCATTCTTGATTTTAGAAGAACTGCATTCCGATTTTCACCATTCACTATAATGGTGATTGGTTTGTCATACATAGCCATTATTATGTTGCAGGCTGATCCTTCTATTCCTGCTTTCTTCAGGGATTTTATCATGAATGAATGTTACATTTTGTCAAAGACTTTTCTGCATCCAATAAGATGGTCATATGATTTTTGTCCTTGATTCTATTTATGTGCTGTGTTACATTTACTGATTTGTATGTTGACCATTGTTGGCAACAATGGCACCGATAGGTTTCGGTTCTTACTGCACCCTTAAGCTTCTGTTTCCCAGGGTCATGGTCCTCCCTCAAGTCTAGCTTGAATTCTCCTTCTGCCCCAACCTCCAATCAGCATGAACCATAAGATCCTAACCAATCAGATCATGCCGAGTCTCACTGAGGGATATTTAAGCCCCTGTCCCTCTCTCTCTCTCTCTCTCTCTCTCTCTCTCTCTCTCTAGGCTCTCTCCCTCTCCCACCCGGCAATAAAGAATCTCTTGGCCAGATCACTCCTCTCCGAGTAGTCACTTTTGGGGCCTACAACCATCTTTGCATTCCTGGTATTAAACCAACTTGGCCATGGTATACGATCTCTTTAAATGCGTTGCTGAATTCATTTTTATATATATTGTAAGAATTTTTTTTCTTTTGTCTTTTTATCTTATCATTTTTACATTTACTTACATGTGTATACATTGTTTGTGCCACCTTCCCCAGCCGAATTCATTTTATTGAGGATTTTTCATCTATATTCACAAAGAAATTGTTCTTTAGTTTTCTTTTTTGGGGGGTCTTTATTCAGTTTTGGTATGAGGGTTAATAGTGGAATAGTTTGAGGAGCAATGGTATTAGTTCATATTTAAAGACATGTTATAATTCAGCAGTGAATCTGTCCAGTCCTGGGCTTTCCTTTGTTGGGAGACCATTACTGCTTCAATTTCATTGCTTATTGTAGATCTGGGTAGGTAGTTTTATATCCTCTTGGCTCAATTTTGGTAGGTCATAAGTGTTTAGAAATGTATCCATTTCTTCTAGGTTTATCCAGTTTATTAGAATATAAATTTTCAAAATATTCCCTAATGATCCTCTGGATTTCAGTGGTATTTGTTGCAATTCCCCTCTTTCATCTTAATTTTATTGATTTGAGTTTTTATTTTTCTTTTGGCTAATGTGGCTACAGGTTTGTCAATCCTGTTTATCTTTTTAAACAACCAACTCTTTGTTTCATTGATTCTGTATACCATTCTTTTATTTCCCATTTCATTAATTTCAGCTCTGATCTTTATTATTTCTTTCCTTCTAGTAATTTTTGGTTTGACTTATTCTTGTTTTTCAGTTTGTAATGTTTCTTTTTTTTTTAATTTACTAGCCCCTGTAATCTCTCTGGCAACCCCCTATCAAGAGGCAGAATCAAAATTCAGCTCAGAACTTCTGACTTGATGTCTGGTGCCTTTCCCACTAACACTACTCTGTCTTCTAAAAAAAAAAGAGTCTCTAGAATATATGCAAAAAATTTTTTGTACCAGAAAATTTCTGTTTGCTTATTGCAGTTATTGTTTTGGTTGTTGAACATAGAGCAGGCTATTTTTGCCTAGATTTTTGGGGAAAAGAATTCTTGTCATGGCTTAGAATACATTATGAAAGACTTGCCTATATGATCTTCCCATCTAATTTTTATGTCATATCCAGATAGACACCTTAGGATGAGTTAGCTATAAAACTTACCCACATATAACTGGAAGGAAATTACTTAGCATTATCCATTTGGAAAATGGAAAGGATTTTCTGAAAGAAGAAATACTGATTTGGGCATAATGTCCTTTCTGGTTTGTAACAGTTAAGACAAGGCACTAGCTTTAAGGCATATGACATTTTTTTGGAAGTAATGTAGTTTGAACTCAGGACCTTGCATTGCTAGGTAGGCACTCTACCACTTGAACCATACATCCAGCCTTTTGTGCTTTAGTTATTTTTCAGGCAGAGTCTTGAATTTTATATAGGGACAATTTGTTGATTTTACATCCCCAGTAAAAATCTTATAGCAAATGTATTAATGTTTCTTATCATTTCATGCAATAGCTGTTCCAAGTTATTTAAGAATAATTTTAAGAGAACAGGTTCAACTATCACCCTGTTTTACATATGAAGTTGAATTTTATGCAATTAATGTAACTATAAGATTTACAGGATTTTTGGCTAGTAGAATGCTTAGCTAGCATGGAGAAGGCCCTGAGTTCAACCACAGCACTGCCCCATAAATAAAGATCTATAACATTTTTAAATGTGGGAGGAAATGCATGCTTGAGAGCATGAGATGAAAGAAGTCATCTGAAATTAAGGATAGTAGGTAGATAGAATTGAAAACTTGAGCAAAAAAGAACATTTAGAATACCTGCAGTTAAAAAACAGGAAAAATAGCTGACTAAATATCTGTATAATTCATTGGATTTCATTTACTTTAAAAATAAGCAAAAGTCACCAGAGAAATAATTATTTCTAAGGCATCTCTATCCATATAAATTATTACAGAATCTAGATCTATAGTTCATTGAGAATCAAAGTATAATGATTTTTTCATGAAATATGTTAATGGATTTACAATTTTTAGAAAGCTAGAGGATTGACCTTGTATGAAAAAATGGTCAATTATACCCCTTCAGTATTGCTTTAGTGGCATCTCATAGCTTTGACATACTGTGTTTTCATTTTATTTGTTGAAAATATTTTCTATTTTCTGCTGAGATTTTTTTTTCTTTTGCCCATGGATTATTTAGAAATTTATTATTGGACACTTTACTGGTTTTCAGTTATTTCTCTATGTTAGTTGAAAAGAATATGCATTATTCTGTGCTAGGTTAAGTTTTCTGTAATATCAATTCGATCCAGTTGATTGATGGTGGTGATAGCACCTTATGGCTGCCAAAGAGTCCCTGGGGACCATCTCCATCCTGGTCAGGAAGAAAGAACATGGAGAAAAGCGCTTAAGAGGTTATTATGACATCACTTCTATTCAAATTCCATTGGTTAGAACTCAGTCACATGGCTTCACCTAATGGTATGGGAAGCTGGGACATAGTCTAACTTTTTGCCTGGGAAGAAGAAGAAAATGTATTTGGAGAAACAGCGAGCAATCTCTTTCATTTCTCTGGAAGAGCTTGTATAAGATAAGAAATACTTGAATCATGGGTATACAGTAGAAATTGTAGTTACTGGGGCCTGCTGTTTTCTTTGGGGGAAATTTTGTATCTGCTGGTTCAATTTAATGGATACATGTTCATTTAAGTTTTCTATTACTTCTTGAGTCACTTTTTGTAAGTCATTTTTTAGGTGTATATCATTTTACATAACCTTTAAAATATATTAGCATAAATTCATTGAAAGTATTTTCTTATTTTAACTTCTGCTATGTCTATAATTATGTTCTTTCTTTATTTTTAATATTATTTACTTACGCCTTCAATTTTTTCATTTGGCTAATCTTACTAGAAACTTGTCAATCTTAAGTCTTTACCAGAATCTTAAATTGTGTGTATGTGTGTGTGCGTATGTGTGTGTGTATGTGTGTATGTGTGTGTGTGTATGTGTATATGTGTGTGTGTGTATGTGTATGTGTATATGTGTGGGTATGTTTGTGTATGTGTATGTGTGTATGTGTGTGTGTGTGATGTGTATATGTGTGTGTATGTGTGTGTGTGTATGTGTATGTGTATATGTGTGGGTATGTTTGTTTATGTATGTGTATGTGTGTATGTGTGTGTGTGTGTGTGTGTGTGTGTGTGTGTGTGTGTGTTGCTGGGGATAAAATCCAGAGCTTTGCACATGCTAAGCAAGTGCTCTACCATTGAGCTACATCTCCAGTACCAGAATCTTATTATTTTTTTTCATGCTACCAGAGTTGAGCTCAGGGCCTAATGCTCACTAGGCAGGTGCTCTATCACTTGAGCCCTGCCCTAGCCCTTTCTTTATTTTTGAGACAGGGTCTTGCTTTATGCCTAAACTGGCCGTGACCTCCATCCTCCTTTTTTCTTTTCCTCTGTAGTTGGGATAACAGGCACATATCACCACACCCAGCTTTTATTTGTTACGATATGGTCTCACAAACTTTTTGCCTAGGCTGACCTCAAATGACTATCTTCCCAATATGTACTTCCCAAATAGCTAGGATTATAGGCTTGAGCTACTCAATCAGCAAATCTTAATTTTTATTCATTAATTTCTATTTTTTATTGTTTTCTTCCTCTTCTTTCTTTGAGTTAACTTTGCTGGTCTTTTTCAACTTGTAATTTAGGTTCTAAACTCATTGCATTTTAATCTTTTTTCTAATATATACACTCTTAGAACTACACATTTCCCTGAAATTTGGCTCCAGCTAAATTTCCAGTATTTATACATAGTATTTTCATTATTGTCTAATTCTGTGTACATTCTAACTTACATTGACTTATTCTTTAATGAATGAGTTATTTACAGTGCTACTTTAAATTTCCACAAGCATTACAGCTATTGTTAAGGTTTATCTTAGGTTGCTAATTTAGAAATTAATTTTATTATTGTCAGAGAATGTGGTACATATGATAATGATTTTAATAAAATTTAGTCTTTATGACCTGGTATATGTGCTTTAAACTTGAGGTGTCTTTCTGTTTATTATGTTACTACAGTCTTACAACATTTTATTTCTTACTATAATTCTATGAGGTAGATAGATAGTAATGATTTCTATTATTCAGTAAGAACATTAAAATTCACCCCCAGGGGCTGGGAGTGTGGCTTAAGTGGTAAAGTGCATATCTAGCAGGCACAAGACCCTAAATTCAAACCCTAGTGCCACCAAAAATAAAGTTTTAAAACTAGGTATTGTTCTTAAAATTCACTACCAACACAATAAATAACCTTATAAGCTCACAGATCCAGTTGAACTTATATATCAAAGAAAACACAAACTATAAAAAAATTAGTATAGTCAACTTAATGCACTGGTTATGTATCAGCCCCGCTTATATTTCATTGTAGATTTTTAAACCTCACAGTGAGAATTAATTCTTACTTAAATAGTGTTTTACTGCCTCTCCCCTCAGTATCTCACACATGTTGAATTACAGCAAACTATAAACAGTATGAATCTGAGAGAATAAAATGAACAGGTAGTTTGTGAATACTCAAAAATACAGACAGAAATATAGATAGACTAAGGAGGAGGAATCAAAAAGAGGCAGTAAATGTACAGACAGAGAAATGGGAGGGAAACCAAGTGAATTTAGATTATAGACACAAAGGTGAGAGAGAGAAAAGCGACATTTTCATTTAGTGTTAATAAAATTATTAATTGCCTTGGATATACAGTATATGAGGAATTGGAATTTTTTTCATTTTTATTAGGATATATTTGTTGTACTGGGTGATTCACTGTGATAATTCCAAATAGGCTTATATCATACATTGGTAGATCGCTCCCACCATCTCTCTCTTGACTCTCTCCCTGCCCCACTTAAAGCAACTGCAAAGAGGTTTCATTGTTCTGTTTTGTACATGTATATGAAGCCCATCAACCATATTCCCTCACCTTCATCTCTTCCTTTCACCCTCACCCTCCCACAAGTACACCCCTACGCTGTACTTTGTTATAGTCCTGTCTTTTGTTATTAATACAAAAGTCAATGTTCAAAGAGGTCTCTCGATGTACCCCTGCTGTGAGTATACTTTACTTTGGTCAGTTCAACCCAGTCTGTTATTCTCCCTTACTCCTTCCTTCCCATTCCTCATTATTCAACAGTTTTCAATGCCTATCTTTAGAGCCTCTACCTGCACAGGTGCGATGTATTTCAATATTGTTGACTATCGTTCTCCTTTCCTTTCCCTCCTCCCCCAAGTTCCATAGAGCAGTTCCACTGTTACAAACATGTGCTACATATGAGCTTGTATATGATCATGTTTTTCTTCTGTATATGGTTTTCTTTTGGACCTATCTTCCACATATGAGAGGAAACATGCAGCCTTAGTCTTTTTTAAAAAGAATTTTGAATAATAACGTTGTTAAAGTATAAGCTACAAGGTACTTGTGAGGAGAGGGTGAGTTTTGTTTAGTTTCACATGAAGCAGTCATAACCAACTAGGTATAGTGGTTCACATGTGTAATCCCAGCACTAGGGAGGCTGAGGCAGGAGGACTGAGAGTTCAAAACCAGCCTGGGCTACATAGTGAGACTCTGGCTCAATAAAACATAATCAGGTTTAAGATCTGATTATGGTCTAATTATCTAATTAAGTTCTATTATGTAAGATTTAGCTCTTACTGTACTGTACTGAGTTAGAGCACTATGAAAAACAGGGTATCACAGCACCTAGAATAGTTTAAGGAACATATCCACTTAAATGTCTCATCTGCTTCCAGATTCATGATCATGTCTTACTTATCTTGGACCAGGTTTTTTGTTGTTAGGGCCTTGCACTTGCTAGGTAGGGTATATCACTCAAGCCATGTCCCCAGCCTTTTTTGCTTTAGTTATTTTTCAGGTAGGGTCTTTCATTTTTGCCTGCAGTGGCCTCAGACTGTCATCCTCCTATCTATGGCCTCCAGCATAACTGACATCACAGGCATGCTCCTAATGCCCACCTTGTTGACTGAGATGGGGTTTGGCTAACTTTTTGTCCACACTTCTCTCAAACCATGATCCTCTCAATGTTTGCCTCCCAAGTAGCTGGGATTACAAGCTCATGGCCTGAATCACCAAATCTTTTTTTTTTTTTTTTTTTTGTGGGACTGGGGTTTGAACTCAGGGATTTGTGCTTGCATAGACGGCGCTCTTCCACTTCAGCCATACCTCCATTTGGCTCTGGTTACTTTGGAGATGAGGTCTTCGTAAACTGTTTCCTTCAGCTGGTTTTGAACTGTGATCCTCCTAATCTCAGCCTCCCAAGTAGCTACGATTAGAGTATGAGCCACCACATCCAGCTCTGAATCACCAATTCTTAAAAAAGATTTGGCAATAGAAAGTTATCAATGTTTAACTATGGAACCTTAAAAAAAACTTTCCCCTTTATATATCTTGCTGTGACTTTATTTTGTACTTATTTCTTCCATTGTAACATCTATAGTACTTTTTAATTTGTTGTTACATGTATGTCTTTCCTACTAGGCTATGTACTTTTTTTGGCAGTACTGAGGTTTGAACTCAGGGCCTCATATGTGCTAGGCAGGTGCTCTTCCATTTGAGCCACACCTCTAGCCTAGCAATGTACTTCTTGAGGGAAGAACCTTATATTATCCATTTCCTTAATGCTAGTATCTAGCACAATGCCTACTGTTCAGTTACTTCTTAAGTAACCAGTCAGTATTCTATAGTTTGAGAATACCAGAGTAAAAAAGACTTGTCTGTAATGGAGGACAGTACAATAAGCCAATACATAAGGAAGATTATTTGTGATAATAATTATTAAAGAGAAAGAAGCAGGGTGATGTTGATAAAAATAACTTGAGGGTAAGGAGTCCTTAGATAGAATACTTAACGGCAGAGTTAAAAAAGTAAAATCACTGCCTTTGTATATACTATTGCTATATAATGTATGTTTATTAAAGCTTAAGAATAGGGGCATAACTTAGTGATCACTGAGTCAAATTTTTTTTTGGCAGTACTGGGGTTTGAACTCAGGGCCTTACTCTTGCTGGACTAGTGCTCTACCACCTGAGCCATGCTCCAGCCCTCAGCTTTCTTATTTTAAAACGTGACATGACATGAGGGTATTAGCAAATCTGTAATTTAATCATTTCCTTGGTGAAGTGGTTTAGTAGTTTGGAAACCTTCAGACTCTATACCTCATTAAAATTCCACTGAGATGTACGCTACACATGCAAACCAGGGACTAGAAAGGTGTATACATTACACCACCTATTTTTTTCTCAATGGAGAATTATTTTTGTTTCTTTAATATGTGTGTCCATTAATTTTTATAAAAATAATAATGGTCATTTAAAACATTATGACAAGTTAATTAAGGGATTTTGTGAAAATTAAACTGTGCTTGTCACTATGGCAAAGAGAAAGAATTTAAAAGGAGG